GAAGGAGGATGGTTTCATCAGGTTATCTTCACCAGGGGCAGGTTAGAGTGGGTAAAGCAGCAGGTTTTTACACAGCTTTGTCAAGTAGAAACCCAATCCAAGAGTGAAGTTAATCCTCTTGACTGGTTTTCATGTAAAACTCTCCTCCAAAGGTCTGCAACTCCTGGTAGAGCTTCCTTTTTGGTAACACAGCTCTGGCCACTCTTAATCCATGGCTGCACCTTCATGTCTGTTTTAAGTTCTCTGGTTGTAAACAGTGCCCACCTCTATAGCATCTGTGCAAGGGCCATGTTGGTGCTGCTACAACTCCAGCAGAGATGATGGTGTGGTATCAAACATAACTTGCTTGATGTGGGAGGACAGTGCAGCAGAGCAGAACCCCATTTACACTGGTAAATCACCAGGAAAGGTGTAAGGGATTCATTATACCTGTAGCCCAATATCGAAACATGGGTAGCTCCAAAAGTTTCGTCAAGAAATGTTTGTGCAGGGAGTTCCTGTCTCAGCAAATTCAGCTCAACCAGGAAACACCTCTGAACAGCTCCGCTTTCTCTTTGCAATGAGAGCTGAACAGGTGCCACCTTCTCTGCTCAGTGTTAGTGACTTTTTTTTAAATGTTATTCAAAAAAAAAAAAAAAAAAAAAAACAAAAACAAAACAAAACAAAAAAAAACTCTTTCCTGGTCATTTCTTGTTAGCAACAGTCTAAATATCCCAACCCAAAGACAGAAAAGAATGCAAACTATTACTCGGCATGGGAAACTACAAAGAAAACAAAAGGTGAAATTTACTCCTATGCTGAAGGTCAGGAGAAAACCCATGTAAGCAGACTGCCTCTGAGTCAGAACGATTCCATCAACAAAGTAAACAGCAAATTCCTCAAAGGGGAAAAAAAAAAAAAAAAAGGAAAAGCTATTCTGTCCCCCGATTAACCACATTATGTAGTTATCCGCATGGGATGTAGTCATGCATTCTGTGCTTCCAGCAATGTACCTCTGCCCTCCCCACCGACACACAGGAGTGCTGCAGAGGCAACGCGCAGCTGGCGAGGGCACCGCTGTGTGAATTCACTCACGGATTATGAAACCAGGAGCCAAGCAGCTTTCCTGCGCTGCCCTGTGCCTCCAAAACTGCTGTGCCTGGCCCTGCAGGTTTGCCAGTCGTGCAAAAACACAGCCAAAATGTTCATTCATATGTCAGAGGAATGGAGTGAAATAAAGACAGAATGCAGTCGCTCATACATTACTTTGTGCCTAAAAAAGTTTTCCCAGCAGGACCTGGAGACACTGTGATCAAAATTGGCTAAGGATATAAAAATAAGAAACCTTGTTTACAGATCATATGCCAAACTTGCTGTTTTGTCATTCACGGATATATATATTCTATGATTCTATGATATATATTTATCCTTGTCAGGAAAATACAAAAAATTACTTCCATGGTGTGATTTTGTCCAGGAGACTCTAAACTCACTGGCATTCTGCCACATTGTACCTGTCATTACTGGAAATCAGCTGTTCTTTGCTCCAAATGCCTTGAATGTTGGCCTAGATCTATATCTATCTATATAATTTCTGACAGTGTTCACACTTTTCCTATGCATCACTTCATCTCAATCTAGGCTTCCCTACAAAAAGCTGATACCACACTCTCAGCTGGCCCCCGATTAATCTTCCCACCAGAAAAACTACTAATTAAAACTACTTAATTCTGATGTTGTCTCTATTGTCCACAATGAACTCCAAAGAAAAATCAACACTCATTTCTGAGCATGATGGAAATAAACATCTGAGTGCTTTTGATACCTGGTGTTAAAAAGAATCGTAATCCCCAGTCTTACTCACTCCTACCCAGCCATAGAAATATTGCTAAGAAAGACTGTGACTCAACAGCTTTAAAGACTCAGATTTAAGCAGATAATGATGTTTTTGCTGTCAATGGGTGGAAGCTGGACTGTTCTCTGGAAAATAGAATGTACAAAAAAAAATAGTTGTAATACGGAAAGGGTAGCTAGTGAACATATGTAGTATTTTTTCCCACAAAAAGCAATCAATTTATTAAATATGAAGGGATTTTTCTATATGCAGTTACATAAATTCACATTCTGGCATATAATAAGATATGAATTACTAGAGTCAACGTCGGCATTAGTGGGGCATGACAGATCAGTAAACAGGACAAAGATTAGTTCATCTAGCAAAGATTAAGAGCTGGGGATTACGGTCGGCGCAGCGGGACTGAGGTGTCATGAATGTGGACAGGTTAATGCTCTCTACCGTCAAGAAGAGCCGTGGCATCTCCTTTTCCTGGGAGGCGAAGATTATTGGCCTCCAAACTCTCAGTCTTTTCGCCCCTGTATTCGCTTGCAGTTTTATTTTTATACAGGAATTGGTTTCACCGTGTTTTGAGCTGCGACACTCGGGGACGGCATTAGGAGTTTGTCAGGCGGAGTCTCCCGTCGGATGTCACGGTCACCATGCAGGCTAAACATTGCCACCTCGTGGAGATGTAGATGACACACAGACGGACAGAAAGGCGTACAGAGAGAGGGACCTAACTGCGGGTGTACGTACACCTGAGGTGAAAACAGTTACCAGCGCTGTCCGGTCTCAAAAACATTATAACGTTCTGGAAAGGAGCCCTTCGACTCCAATGGAGTCATTGCACACACCCGCAGGTGGGTGTGTGTGATTTACGCACACACAGCCAGGATCGCTAAACTGTGACGGATTCACGCTTGGTTGCGAGAGGCGGTGTTAGCATCGTGGTAAATTTTTGAAGGCGAAAGGATCTTCCTGCCGGTTTGAGGGACAAAGAGCCCGAAAACGGCTCCGCGGTCTAGGGGGAGGAGACCGCCAAAGCCGAGAGGGAGGGCAAAGCCCTCACTCGGCCCGCGGGCCCCTGAGGCGGCCGGCAGGGAGGCGGGAGGCGGCTCCGCAGGGAGGGTGCCCGGCCCAACGGCCGCCCAGGCCCCGCCCAGGCCCCGCCCCAACGGC